CTCGCTAGGGACCGCGCGTAGCAAGAAGGGAGCGCTTGAGAAAGACGGAAGCGAGCGACTTGTGTCACTTGCCTGATAGTGAATCTTACTGAAAAATTTGGCGCGAAGTCAATTATGACATAGTGAGCGTCACCATGTCGATTTCAGTAGTTCATTATTGTTTTGTTCATGCGACTTTCCATATATTCACAATGAATGGCGAGTGCACAACACCCACAAAAAGATTTACGAGAGTAGATATTTCACCAAATTCCAAGGGGAAAATTTGCATTCAATGCGGGGAAGAAATAACGGACTCTAATAAACGCAGGAAACTCTTTAACCAGTCGATAAAAACAGTAGCTTGCGAAAGCTTGGAAAGAATTGTTGAAAGAGAATTTGATACGGAGAATTGTTTGTCTTATATTATATGCCGTAACTCTGTGGATAAGAATACCAAATTGCTACATAAGCTTGACCTGGTTCGTGATCTTTTTCACACTGTTGAGTCAACTTTGACCAACCAGTGTAAACCTAGGAAACAAGCCAGTTAAAAGGCGTGTTGTTTTTTCGACAACGGAACCTGTTACAGGCAGCAAAAACCAAGAAACTCAAACAGAAAGCATTCAAGTCAATTCTGAAATATCGTCCGTCTCGGTAAGTTGCAAAGTTTATCGGTATCCGAATTATCGACAACATAAAGTCAATATTTTCACACGATTTTGACGAGTTGTATTAACATTTAGTAGTATTAAAGGCATGCCTGATGAGTAATTTATAAAGACAACATAATCCGTCCATTGTTCTTATTACAACTTAGGATAAACAACAATTAAGAAAGTTACAATTTAAATGTACAAAATTGTTGCTATATTATCAATTGATATTCTCTATAAAGATTTAACACAATATTAATAACAATCGGGGTGTGTATTGAGAAATGTTTTGCTGGCGCTTTGTTTATATTTTATATAATTTTTGGGCGGACTGATTGACTTTAAACTGCAACTGTTTTTCCCTTCGCTTTATAAGTCATAATTAGTTACCCAAATAGCCAAGAAAAGAGGGTTGTTCTTCCAGAAAAATATCTTCGGTTAGCGAGACAGTTGGCATTAGGAAATCATAAATCAATTGCCTCTGCTGTTTTTTCTGTTGATGACATTGCGGACGAATTAATGGCTATAGCCGCTCGTCGTGTTAATAACGAAATAACAAATTTATGTGCCACTTCCAACCCATCAATTCTGCGCAAAACGTCCAAAGAAGATCTCGTTAAATTTTCTTGGGAGAATATTCATAAAGAATTGAAAGAAAGAGCGCCGATGTTCATGCTCTTTATTGAAGCTTCTGTCCAGAACCCTTCCCAGGCAAAAAATATAAACAAAAAGGACAATAACCTCATACCACCTATGTGTGACGCTTTATATCCATTTTATTTTTTAGCCAGAGATTTTTACAGTAATTTTCGACGATTCGCGTCTGTTTATATTAAATATAAATTTTACAAAATGGCGTCGTTAGTACAGAATAATAATGAGCATTCACTGACGTTACCAGAGCAAAAATGCACCGGTGAATTTGGCGCGCTTGCGGGTGACAAAAGTCCGTCGCTTCCAGGAACCACGAACAGCGGACTTTGGAAAGTCTACTCTTCTGTGTAATTTTTAGTGCCTCATGTATGCTGCCATCATCTGCCTCGAGACTTGCAACTGCTTCTTTTGCCTCACCGTCCAGAAATTGCAATAGTGGCAACATCTTCTCTCCATCATCAAAGTCTTGTCTTGACATTATGCGTCTTTCAAATGTCTGCTTAAAAAGGGGGAAATGTTCTGGAGAACCAGATAATTTGTCAAGCTTGTTGGCAGAGAGACTTTGGTTGGAGGCTAATTTCTGCTGGACAGATGATATGCTTTGCATTGCAGACGCTACCATAGTCGCCATCTTGGGGTGAGTTACTTACGCTCGTACGTCTCGGTGGTGGTTCCAAAGGCGAACAGGTTGGCTTATTCACAATACCATCATTTGAATTTAAAGACTGGTCAGCAACATTGCTAGCAGAAGTCCATCTGACTGGGGGTACACCAGGGTATAGTTGAAGGTAGGCATTAAGAGTCTATCTCTGTAAGATGCAGAGTTGGTGGTGTGGGTAGAGCTCATCACGTCTTGGGTGGGAAACAGTTTGTTGGTCATCAATAGGCATTGGTGCCTCATCACTAATATTTGTTGGTCGACAAATACTTGTTGCATTTATTGGAGCCGATGTTGCAAATGGTTAATGTTCCTCAATAAACTTGCACTTGAGCTGTTATAACCGGTGTTGGATAAAGTGGTTTGGCAGAAAGATCTGGGTTCAGTGAGTTGTTTCTCATAGTGGGATGTGGTTCATCTTCAAATAAGAAATCCTCATATAAGAGCGGTCTTGGAATATCGCCAGTGAACTGATCAGCACCAGTTGGAATATCCTCTTGATCTTGTGTGACAAGGCTCATATCAACTTCCCCCTGTTCCTCCATCTGTTCTTCCAATTCAGCTTCTAAGTCCATAAGTGCTGCCCTTTGCCGGGCTTCAGCAAGCTCTCTTTCAGACTGTTGTCTTAAGGTTTCCATTCTTTGGGTCCTTTCAATCTCTTCTTTTTCCATCTTTTGTTGCCTTAATAGTTCTCTGTACTTCTTTTCGATCTCCATAAGCTTTATTTCACCTTCAAGTCTTCAACACTGCTCTTGCTCTGCCAAGCGTAAAGCTACATTTGCCTTTACAGCTTGGGCTCTTTTTTGAAGTACTACTGAGCTTGAAGAATGTTTCTATCCTCTGGAAATATTAGATCTATAGGACTCCACACTTTCGGCATATGGTCATGCGTATTTTCTTTGCAAGTGTGAGTTATCCATAATTATCTCATTAAAATAAGTTGCGGCATCAAGTAGGTATCCGGAGATTTTCCGAACAAAGGCAATCTTTTCAAGGTGTAACTGGTCAAACTGTTGAAGGGTATGGTAGAACTCTTGGCTGTCTGAGCCAATTATAGACATGTAGTAGTTATGTGACTCCACAAATGTTTTCCATGAATTATCATACTGCTGGGAGAGTGTTCTAACAGTCTCGGCATTAGTTGGGTCATTTAATAGAGTTTCAATTCGGCCACGAACACGAGCTAGTAACAGCTACCAAGTAACCTGCTCTTGTTCTCTTTGAAGAGTACACCTTTTCGGCGAGAACATAATCAGAAACTTGTTGCACACATTCTCTCTGTGGCCACCTGGTATTTCTATTGGCCCAATCCATATCACAAATAAATCACCCAATACATATGTAATTGTATCTTTCAAATATTCAGTTGTGCCAAATGCACAAATTATCCAAATGTTGATTTATTTAAGTTGTAGTTGATCCAATTAACACAAGTCAAATATAAACAAAACAAGTATAAGGGGCTGTTCATATGAGCCCTGCTCTGCCGGGCTGGCCCGGCTAGCCGGGCTGGTTTTCAAGTGCCAAGATCCCGCCTCAAATATTGTGTGTATATTAATTTAGGATTGGGTTCATATGAGAAGCGGGCCAGCCCGGTTTGCCGGGATCTCGCTTGAGCGAGGCGAGATCCCGGCTTGCCAGGCTCATATGAATGCACAACCGGGCTAGCCCGGCAAGCCGGGCTGGAAATTTGCGTGCTTTATTCCACTGATAAACAGTCTAAAATGTCCAAAACTATAGGACTTTATCGAAATTAAACCTCCTGAAGCTGTTGCCATCGACAAAAATAAAATTTTGCAAACTAAACACGAATTTTATTTTCCCGCTAAAATATCGCGGGAAATCGTTACTATCAATAGATATGATTGCCGGGCTAGCCCGCCTCATGTGAAAGCAAAGCGGGCCAGCTAGGCAAAGCGGGCCAGCTCGGTTAACCGGGCTCATATGAACAGGCCCTAACTCACTTGACTCTAACAGGTATTCATAAAGCGTTGTATACAATTTTAAATAAACATCAGGCGAAAACCACAGGAATGTGTGCAGTCAACCTGAGCGAGAGACTGGGCTGTCTGTTCAGTGGTATTAGAGAACTTTTATTGAAGTTTTGTGTTTTCTTAATAGTGTAAATTTCTAGTTATAATTTATGTGCGGGGTTTGCCTTGTTGGGACT